TGCACCGATGCACCAAACATGTCAGAACACTGGCTCTGGTGGAATATTCATTATTGATATATTTGGTAGATAATTGTTAAAATGTCAGTATTCTAATTGAACACCTTCATAACGCCCTGACAGACTGAATAACCAATAAAACAGAGTAAAGTCAGAGGTGTTAAGTCTGCTTCATATTTATTTATTAAACCTTCTCCAAGCCGCCGTTAAACAACTGAACCGACAGAACTATAAGATCCGATGATGGAAACTACATCAGACGGAGAGAAAGTTAACGTGCTCGTCTACCTCCAGAGGTTTGAAGACCCCGGATGCAGGTTTATGGATCCCGTCGTGTTTCTGACGCCAAGTCGCCGCTTTAACCTTTTGTGTTGCTTCGGAGCCGTCGGATGATTCAGGCGGCGGCGGCGGCGTTCTGATGCATAATTCAGCGCACGAGGAAGGAAAGAACAGCAAACAATCGCCCGCAGAGCAGCTTGACACTGTGTTCTTGGTTTAGATCCTTTTGTTTTTTTATTTTCCGGTTGGCAGGAGACTCTGAACTGTCATCGCTTCTGTTTTCCTCAAATATTTACCCTCAACGTTTGTCCTTCACACGTCTCCTCAGCGTTTGTCCAGTTTGTTGCTCTCACATATTCGGCCCCTTCCACGCCTTCGGGGGAGGTTCTGTACGGGTTCACTCAGGATGAAGCCACGAGGTTCTGGAGGTCGGAGGTCGTCCTGACGCTGCCGACCTGATGAACCAGAAACGCCTGGAGGGAGCTTCAGCACATCTGGAGCTAAAACCAGCAGGACCGAAGGAGGAGCTGATTAGAATTCAGAGGTCAAGATCAGCCTGACCTACAAACCACGAGTTTTGTTCAAGGATTTATTCACTAATTGTGCTAAAAATCCACCTGAACGAGGACTGAATGATGATGTTTTGTCTCCTGAAGATCACGTCTGAATGGAAACAGAAGCTGGTGGACTTTTGGGTCTGGGTTCGGTGATATTTGCTGCACAGAGCGAAGACGTTTCCTCAGGGTCATGAATGGACGGAAAACGAAGCGAGAGATGGACAGAATGTATTCAGCATCAAGGCAGCAGCTCTCCAACTCTTCCTCCTTGATTTTCTATCAGCTACACCTCCCAGTGTTTCCTCTAAACCACCACATCCATAACAAACGCCCGCACAAGCTCATTAATCAATAAGAATAATGTCCCTTCCACTGTTTATTTACATCTATTTCCTTCGGAGCCGTTGTTTTCTGCAGCTGCTCTCCTGCTGTGCAGCATCTGGACGTTCACGTCATGTGGCGGTTTTCTTTAGAACGACAGACTTTAGAGCCGGAGCTGCTGCCAGCAGACCCACAAACACAGACAGAGCTGTGACTGACGAATAGTTTGGACGTTTAAAAACCTCCGTTTTCCTACATACACAAGAATCTGTGCAGTATGAATACTTCTCCATCAGTGTTTCTGCTCATGTGAGACTCTGTCAAGGAATTATTCCAGAATGCCACAAAAATGGTCTTAAATGACTCAAAATATGTCAAAAATGACACAAATTAGTCCACAAGGCTTAAAAATTGGTTTGAAATGACTAAATGTGTGCAAAATGACACAAATATTGACAGAAAGTACACAAATTCGACTCCAAACGTATCTAAAATGTCTCAAAATGTGTCCAAAATAATGCAAAATTTGTACCAAATAACTCAATACGAGTCTAAAATAACTGCACTGACCCCTCTGCTGCTGTAACAAGGCACGTTCCCCGACTACAGGATTAAAAAAGGCTTATTGTATGTTATCAGAATGTCTAAAATGACTCCAAATGTGCAGAAAATGACAGAAATATTGTCAAGAAGGACACAGATTAGTGAAAAAATAACTCAGAATCTTCCTAAAATGGCTAAAAAGTGTCCAACATGACTCCAAATATGTCCAAAGCGACACAAATATTGTCAAAAATCAAACAGATTAGTGCAAAACAACTCAAAATCGACCTAAAATGGCTAAAAATGTGTCTAAAGAATTACACAAATTGGTGCCAAATGACTGAAATTACTCAAAATGTGTCCAAAGTGGTGCAAAATTTGTACAAAATACTTTAAAACGAGTGTAAAACAACTGCAGTGACCCCTCTGCTGCTGTAACGACTCCAGGACTAATGAAGGCTTATCGTGTCTGCTGCCTCACATCAGTGCTGGATCTGTCAGAATGCCATAAAGTGAACAGAGTTTGCATTTATTTGTTAAATCAGACTGATTATTACTTTATTTCTGTAAAGAGCTTCAATATTAACGAAGCAGCGACTAACATCTGCAGAGTGAATCCAGGTTTCTACCATCACACCGCCTGGTTCCGGTTCCTGCTGAGCAGAACCTAAACAGCTTCAATCTCCTTCATCGGCCTGATTGGGCCGACTTCAAACGGACGCACACGCACGTGCATGTACACACCAGATATGATGCGAAACATCACAAAACTCCCCATAAAGAACGTATAACACCAGACACATCAAACAGGCGGCAGATGGAGGCGGACGGCGAGACGATCTGGGCTTTGATCCGCCGCCTGAAATGACTGAATTATGCTGCTGCTGCTGGAGACGAGCTGCACAGATGCTTTATGGGAGTGTGTGTTCGGCCGGTGAGTGACGGGCGACAGCACATTCATTAGAGCGGCAGTTCCATCGAGCCAAGAGATGAAGCGACGGTCAGAGGTCAGGAAGGGGGCGGGGCCACAAGGAAAGCAGGAAGTGGTACGAACGGAAAAAGCAGAAATCAGAACAGAAAACACCTCTTGAACTCTTAAACATAAAGCACCAGCCTGTTATTTGTCCGAGTATTGTTGACGGCAACCCGTCTATCTGCTTAATTAAACTTGCAGGAGTGGGCGGGGCCAGAAGGAAAGCAGGAAGTGGATGGAATTAAGAAAAAAGGAATCTTTTAGAAAGTGAAAGATCAGAACAGAAAACACCTTTTAGGCTCTTAAACATAGACTCAGCCTGTTATTTGTCCGAGTATTGTTGACGACAACTCGTTTATCTACGTCATTAAACCTGCAGGAGGGGGCGGAGCCAGAAGGAAAGCAGGAAGTGGTACAAAAAGAAAAAGCAGAAATCAGAACAGAAAAAACTTCTTGAACTCTGAAACATAAAGCACCAGCCTGTTGTTTGTCCTGGTATTGTTGATGACAACCCGTTTATCTATGTCATTAAACCTGCAGGAGGGGGCGGAGCCAGAAGGAAAGCAGGAAGTGGTGGGAAATGAGGAAACATGA